GAATGTGTGAGGTGCATAAATTTGCCCGACTTCCAACATGTTGACATTTTTTTCTTCCTCATGATTGACGTGACAAGCCAACTTTCAGCATCCAATCCCGACCGGTTTTATTCAAACGCTGCGGGTCACCGCAATCCAAAGCGACGTAATACCGCCATCTAGGGCGATCTCATCGTCAGCGACAGTGTTGACCTGAATTCCACAAACAAGCTGGGTCAGACCTTTTCCCACACCAGGCTGTTAAGAAACGTACTCGACGAATATATTGGACGAATCCATGACGGTGATTGACGTGCCCTGTGTTTGGAGATGAAAAGTGAGCCGGTTCGGCGAAGCGCTCGAGAAAATAGATGAATGTTGGACGTTTTCTCTGATATGTGCGAAAATGTCCTTTCAGAGTGGAGGAGAGCAAGGACATCCTGCTGTTCTTTAGGACCCTGCGAACTTTCTCGGACAGGATGGACGAGCGACGCCGCGCCTTCCAGCACTTTCAGGTAAGTGGCGACGCGACCACCCTCGAACTCGAAGCTGCTTGCTTGTGAACTTTGGTCCTTTATCCCTTCGTCTGCATTTGCAAGTTGTGGCCTTGTTCCTTCAGAGCTCTCCTGGGACAAGCGGGAGAGTCTGAGGCTGTAAATCGCTGACTCGTAATGTCTCTGACCTTAATCGATCAGCGTGGGGGTGCCCATGTTGACTTGTTTAGCGATGACACCGTCAAAGAGCTCGGCAGGAATTTTTTGTCCTGATTGAAACCCGAAATATGAGGTGAATACCGTCCAATTCTTACAAACAAATTTCCCCTTCATTCTTGTGAAATCTCTTAATTTAAGCTGTTTGAACCTTTGAGTATTTTAGAAGTCTGATCACAGCCTTCAATTCATGCAAACATAGGCCAAATTTGAACCCACAACCAAATCCAGACAAATTTTACCTGGGTTCGTTTCCACTTCGCAGTTGTTCATTGTCCTGCCTCCACAACAGTAAGAAGTCAACATTTAATCACTTTGCAGAAGTAATACAAAGCCGCTGTTTATTCGAAGAGTTGAAAGCTTTGCCAAGTTGGCGCACAGACGCAACATTAACTCGCTTTTTCCGTACATGCCTGCATGATTTATTTTTTTCACTTTTATTTTGCTCTACTTGCATTTTCTTAAGCAAAGTTGGAACATGCGATTGCCTCGTAGCGCGCAACTGGTAATGACACACAGACGCTGGAGTGTTGAGCAAAGGAAAACGAAACAATACAAAACAAAACCAAAAAAAAAAAAAATAGGGGCACATATTTCTTTTGTGGACCACAGCCACATTTTTACAACACCGATGGTGGTCGACCTCTTAACGGCTACAAACCACAAACATTTACAAGCCCTCGTGTTCATTTTTCATTCGGGGACGTTTTGAGCGCTTAAAAACACTGACAGCGAATGTACAAGATATACAATTCGGTTCACAAGTATTCAAACATTCATACATACTTGGAATGGATTTGAATTAAAGCAACGTGCCGACCCAATTGAAGAGGCATTCAGCAACGGCAGCCATTTTATGCATAAAATCTCAAAAGTGTCAGTGCAATTGATCGCCTAATTTTTAAGACTTGGGTGAATATTCTTTTAGATTCGGCAGTGCTTGGACCGCCAACTTTTGTTTTTTTCTCCCAGGAGGGCCGAGATCCTGGCTTGCTTGGCTTATGTGCCAATTCTTTTGAACCTCGCAAAATGGAGATCATGACGACACAAAATGGATGTCATTACTGTTGTCCTAAACCGCACGACCACCCTCTCGGCTTGAAAAATATTTGTAAATGCAGGTGCCGCTTCTTCACCAACAATGATTCCAAATACATTAAAAAAAAAAAAAAAAAGTTCAACTTTATTCAAATATCTTAAGCCATACACATATCCCTGTACAAGCACCACTCTATACATATTGTTAATTATTTTTATAAGACAGATTTATTACTGAAGGGGACGCGTCGGGGCTACATCACATACACGGATTTAATAAATGATGATAAATGCTTCAGTACTTAAATTCAAATTGCGTTGATAAATTAAACATAAAAAGAAGGCGAGGTGACCAAGGTCTACAAAGCCACCCCACTCATTGAGAGTCGTAGATATTGATTTATTGGTATCTGACATTGGAATTCATTGATCTTAGAAATTGTGTTTTTACAGAGCGTTTTGGATTCATTGCTTTGTAATAAAGGTGCAACCGGGGAATGACAATTCAAGGGGGATTTATAATCTGATCTGTGGCCTCGTCAGCAGATCTGCTGTCTACTCAAGCTTGGTCATACTAGAAGTATTTTTTTTCCCCCACTTGTCACACTTCTAGCCACAGCGGTTTGAAATTCTTCCGTTTATTCTATTGAAAAGGGACTACTGTCATGTTGGTGGTTCTTCACCGGTACCGTCCGATCGGCAGTACTTTCATACACATAAAGCTGTCGGGGTACTTGGACAGGATCACGGGATTTCCGTCCAGGCGAACTTCGCTGAGGTTGGGTCGAAGGTAGAAGGTGTCATTGGACCTGCAGAAGGTGTCAATGTTGATGTCTGTGATGTTGTTGTTCTGGGGGCGAGAGGGATACGCTGTCAAGACTGCAACCGAGGCAGTAACATACCCACAAGCACAAGTCAAAAAGTCAAAATTGACTTTGGATGAACTTTGGAGTTATCGGGGTCCTATTATGCAAGACATTCAGTCTGATCTCGTGGAGCCGAGTTATTAGAGGCCTGACATACGATTGTCATCACGATCTCGCCTGTAAATGGTCAACATGACCCTAAAATGGCTTCTTCAAATCCAAATGTCAGACGTCACGTGTCTTTTCGGGCGTGGCTATTTGTGGTCTACTAAACATTTTTTCAAAGCGACACAGGAAATGGATGCTGAACATTTCAGAAAATGATCAAGCAACAGATTCATTCCCAAATGGAGTTGCTCCAAATGGTGATAGCGTCACAATCTGCAATTGAACAACCTACCAATACCCAATCTTTCCTAAGATATGCATACCTGTAGATGCAAGGTCCGAACCATCTCTGGGATCTGTGGGACTGCCTCTATCTCATTATCAGCCAGGTACAAGTTGACCAGACCAGTCAGTTTCTGTCAGATTATGATCATGACAATTTCATCAACCAGAACGTGGTATTTGTTCTCTTGCTCTACGATACGGCATGTTACACGAAGCAACACTCGATAATCATCATTAATAAGGTCAATGTGGTATTCTAGTCAGTGGTATCGACCTTGAAAGCAGTAGCTTTGACACCCTTGGTCTTCAGGAAGTTGTTGTTGGCGTTGAACGACATCAGCTTGGCGGGGAGCATCGGAAGCCTGACGAGCCGGTTGTCCGCCAGAGACAGCTCCTCCAGTAGCGGCAGCTTAGCGAAGGCCCCGTCCTCAATCTCCGAGATCAGGTTCCCCGTGAGGTCGATCCTCTTCAGCGTTACTGTAGCATGATGAAGATAAAACATAACGGCCAACGGCTTTGTAGCTCATTTTTTTTCCTTTGGTGTTACCATCCCATCATAAGTGGTACTCGCATTACTTTTTCCTTCTCAACTGTGACGTCAGCTGAAGCAAGAACCTCCTTTTATCCCCAAATTATCGCCCACCGCAGGTTGATTAAAGGTCGTCAGTGTAGGTAATGACATAATTGAGATTTAAAATACCGGTAGTCATATTTTACAGATCAAGTTGTTGTTGTTCTGACACTACTTACCAATGTCAGCAAAATCCTTGGTGTTGATCTTTCTGATTTTGTTAAAGCGAGCATATAAGTAGGCCGTCTTCTTGGGCACGGTGGGAACTGCGGTCATGTCCGGGCTGACTTCCTCGCAGTACACTGAACCGGTTAGGCAGACGCACAGCAGACAAGTGGGCAGGTCTGCAACACAAGTGGCAATCTCGTGAGCGGTCAGAAAAGACTCACCTTGTCATGGTTGTTGTGCCCTAAACTGGCACAGGGTGCGGCCAAAGCCATATCTAATAAAGAATTGATTTCAAGGCAGCATTTTGACTTCGACATACGCTTTGGTTGCCGAGGAGTTGTGTTGAAAGCAATTGACATCTCATGCCAGATGATGCTGACATCATCATAATGTTATGATAGCGGGAACATGTTGCAATGTCGTACATTGTTGGGATCTGTGGAAAAGTCGTGGAGAAATAAATGCTCTCTTTTACTCTGATCAAGCGTCACTTTCACGTGGTCTCTAGTTCCTTCCACCACGGCCGTTCAAAGCAGCTTTTTCTGCTTATGCTCTAGCTCGCTATCCTGTGTGTTCAATACCATTTTTTTTTCAGACCAACACCAGTTTTACGAGTTTTCAGTTTTGAGTTTGCACCGATTCCACGAGCACTTTTGAAACATTTTCGAGATGCGCAATAACTTTTTTTCGCCCCCACGATACTGATAACCGATAATTTCCTGCTTCTCTAAACCGATACGATAACCGATAACGTTTCTTTTTTTTTTTTTTGTACTCTACACATATATCTGTTGTTGCAGCTTCAAAGAGTAAAACATTTCAATCCTGCTTCCGAGTGAAGTGTTGGGGTCAGATGTGACATGGAAACAGTCAATGACAACATACGGTTGCCTGTTTTCCCACTTTCGGAACTCTTGCCATTTCGGATGATGAGGGAATCTCAAAAGCTCTGATGCATATCAGTTCCTATTAGTAAAGTTGGTCCCATTTTCTTCTCGCCGGACATTTTCAAGAAGCAAAATAAGGACAAATGATTAAAAACATCACTCACCATAGCTGCACTTCAACAAGTCATCATCGCCTTTTGTATTCCAACAACTAGTACACAGTGCGGCGTCATAGCATTTGGTATTCATCAATTGATTTTCTCAACCACTTATCCTCACGATTACCCCTCAGCTTTGCCATAGCTCGGCCCGGCTCTCCTCCTTTTGTTTTTGTTGCCTCCGCCGCCTACAGCGCCTGCCAGACCCGGCAACAATCAATCCGAGGAGGTCCCACCGGTTGCGCCATCTTATCCGGGATGTTGAAAATGTAGTGAAAAGTTGCAATAACTCATCAAATTGTACTGTAAGCCAATGTTGATTAAGTCCACGCGTGTACAGTATCCAGCAACAAAGATAAAAGTGCAATTCAAAAGGAAAAGGCGTCATCACTCTCCGGTGGCCGGCCGAAGCAGCCACTGCCGTCGGGCCGGTGATTGCCGAGGGAGCCTCAGCGGCGGCTCTTACTCAAGTGATGCGTGCGCTTTATAATAAATATTGCTTTGAGAGTTGAGGAGATTTTGGCTGTTTATATGTGTGCAACCTATCACTTTTTCCTTTTCACATGCCTGTTTATTTTATTGTTCATCATTTATCGTTACTTTATCGTGCATCCATTGAAATAAGACCGGTATCGGCCCGATGCGATACGTGGGTATGCGCCGATGCAGCATGAGCGGTGCGGCTGCGGGTTTGATGCCGGAGTCTACCTAGGGAGTAAATCAG